AACAGAGCCTTGGCTAACCAATCAGAGCAGACTGGGCTCTGGTTTCAGACAGAGGGTGAAAAGAGGTGCTGCAGCACAGGCAGTAGGAGAAAAATAAAGAGCTTTTTGAACATTAAAGCATGGAGACATGTCACAGTAGACTTTAATGTTCAAAAAGCAGTAGAGGAACAACATACAAATAATAACCTAAACATTTGCATAATAGGTCCCCTTTAAGTGCAAAGAGCTTAGAAAAACTGTAGGTAAAAACATTTTTTAAATCAAAAACAGAACAACAAACATCAGATTGTAGTCTCTATACTTGAGGCCAGACGTGTGCAGGCTAAGCCCACACATCAACTCTGTGCTATTCAAAGAGCAGCCAGAAAACAACCTACAATGTTTTAGACACCTTGGCATCTACATGTGCGTGTGCGTGTGTGTGTGTGTGTGCGTGTGTGTGTGTATGTGTGTGTGCGTGTGTGTGTGTGTGAGTGTTTATTTGGGAAGCTTTCATGCTCTTTGTGTTTTGTCTTTCATGCACCAGAGGCAGCAGTGATGAGAGGTAGTCGTGTGTTTGTGGAGTAACGCCTCTGCCTGAGCTCAGGAAGAGTGTGAGTGAATGAAGACACGCAAGCTGTCAGTGAGAGGAGGGTGGAGCCGGGGTAAAGAGGTGAAGGCGCGGCCACACTTATATACACCCGCAGGCGCACACACACACACACACACCAACACACACAGATGTAACCAACCTCACATCCGACGCTGTCAGCCCATTGGTTCGGATCAATCAGGTTTTTTTGTTCAGGAGATCACATTGGTGGGTGATTGTTGTGCAGCACATCAGCTCAGTGATGACATCATTGTGTCTGAGACAGCGCTGCTATATTTAGTCTCAGACGGCGTGCAGTGGCCGCTGCTCCACCAGCATCCATACAGGGAGAGGGTTAGAGGGAGCTACATGTAGCACTGGATAGCATGATTTGCAGTTTTTAAAAGATTGAAAGAAAACACACCCCTGTATTGCTGAGCTGCACAGTAAAGAATTAGACAATATAATATAACGCAAAAATATATTTCAATTTAATATGTCCAATATTATGTTGCCATATGAGTCACAATCTTTCTTTCCGTGTATTGGTCATAAATGCCAAGTGGATTAGTTTTTTTACCACTAAGGAGCAATAAGCCTGGATTATCGAGAGTTTATGGCTAGCATCTTTGCACATTTATATACATACTCAATATACAGAACAGGTCAACATGACCGTCCAATTTGAGTTGTGTTTCAAACCACTTGACAAATAATTGCTGCCTTTTTAACCTTTGAGAAAAGTTAGATTCCTTTGGCATAATTTTAGCTGGACACAAATTGCTTAAAGGTGGGGTAGGTAATTCACTTCAGAAACACTTTTTGTTATATTCCATGGAATGCTCTTAACATCCTGATAGCAATGAATAAATTAAATGCTTTGACAATAAATACATAAAAATATTTCATCTTGGAAGCCGTGGCGCTGTAAAAAGCACGACCAATCATCTGAGCCGGCCCGGCTAAAATAACTGGATGGCCTACCTGCCTGTCAGCCTTCCATCTCGTGCACAAACTTATCTCGTGCCCTCATTGGTCATGTGCGCGTTCGTGTGTGTTGGAGGAGGGGCTCTGTAAGGAAGTCTGAAGGAAGGGGCAGATTTTGTTCGGCTGCGTACTTTCAAATTCTAGCGCACTCGAGCTGGTTTCTCTATTCTTACCTACCCTAACTTTAACAACTTTAATGGTTTAATGTTTTAATACTGGGCAAACATCAACTTCCTGTATTAAAACACACTGTCATATTGCAAAGTAATGGCTCTTTTCAGTCATTGTGTGCTTTTAATAGTTTTCTTTGTCTGAAAATGTAGAGGAATGAGAGCGTTACAATGAAAGTAAAACAAAAAACACCTCCTACACATTTTAAGATGAATCTATACCATGGATCTAATGCTGTGCTGCATGGAAATAAATCTGACACTGTGATGGTTGTGATTAGCTAACTTATTTCATTTCTATGGACAATGCACAGTGCTCTTTCTGCTCTAAAGAAACAACTTGTCAGTATAGGTCTTTATCAGCTCTCATGCGAAGATATCAAAACATCTAACAGAGCTGCTTCACTAAGTTTGAACTTCTGGTAAGTTTGAGCGAGTGCTCTTTGATTTGTTTAATCTCACCAAGAGAGTTTCCTTATGGTTATTGATTTGGATGAATCCTGTTGTATGTGCCCCATTCTTTGTGATTAGATGAAACTAGACAATCCTGTGTACAAAGTGTTCACTAAAGATTTACAATTATATCATTATATTATTACCATAGACTAAGCATCAACAATGCATCGCAACACTTCTTAACAGTCTCTAGCATAGCTCCTGATGTTGCAAACTGTACTTTAGTGAGTATTTTGCCTCTTAGAATCGATGAAACTGTGTACTATATTTATACTGTATGGTGTGCGGCCGGGGGTGGTAGGAGTTTCTCTACATGATGAGAGTCTGCTGCAGTGTTGGAACCACTCTCTGCAGAGGAGCTAGCATAGCTGAAATGCTAATAGGCTGATCTGATTTGAATGGAGACTGGCAACAGTTCTGGAGGAGGCTGTGAAGGCGGTGGCAGCATCACGGGCGGACTCTGATGCTGCTGAATCAGACTGGGAGTGTCCTCTCTGCCTCCAGCATGTACAACACACACACACACACACACACACACACACACACACACACACACACACACACACACACACACACACACACACACACACACACACACACACACACACACACACACACACACACACACACACACACACACACACACACACACACACACACACACACACACACACAACAGTCAGTGTGATTGTGTGTTTGCTCACCAGCTGCTTCTCTTTACCCCATCCTCTTACTTAATGCTGCATTGCCTCAGCTGCCTGATGGAGGAACAGCCCTCATCCCAGACTTTCCGTTCAACCAACCCAAGCTATTGTTCTTGCGTGACGAGATACAGTAGCCGTGCGACTGCATGTGTTCTCGTGGCATTTCTCCTCCTGCAGCAGGGGATCTCTGCATTAGCGCACACTCCACTCTCCCTCCCCTCCCCCCTTTCCTCCTCTCTCTCCTGCCCCTCCTCTCCATGTGCAGACAAGGCAGCGTGCTGTGTGTGTGTGTGTGTGTGTGTGATGTGTGTGTGTGTGCATGCGCAGGGTGGATGTGGATGCTGAAAGCTGCAAGGTGACTGAGGGAATGGAGAAGGATACAGAGCTCTGACGAGATGCAGTGGCCTCTTCCAGAACATCCTCTCCTCTTCACATCCCTCCATTTCTCTCTGTTCTCTTCACCTCTTACTCTTTCTCTTTCCAGACTGAGGTGGACCTCCTGCCCTGCTTGCAGTGCCTCTTTCTCAGCTGCAACATCATCACCAGGTAAGCTTTCGTACCGCTTAACTCCCTCCTCCCCGCAGATGGTGTCCGGACATTTCCCCGTCCACTCCCTGGGCTCTTGGCGGGGGCCTGGCCAACACGCTGCAGGCAGGACACACACAAACACACACACTGAATACACTGGGGCGGCATTTACTGTAACCTAGAAAACACCAACCTAGATATGTTCTGTATTGTTAGGAATAAGCCTGCTATTATCTAAGAAATGGGTGTGCCTATAAAGTTATTTAAAGCCGGCTAAGAGAGAGGAGCTCACTTTCTTTGAGATTTAATGACACATTTGAAGGTTGAGTGGATTAAATAGCAGCATCGCTAGGTGAGAGGTGCGTGTAGGATGAATGAGAGGTGTCTTTTCTTGCCTGCTTTACACACTTTTCCCCATATCTGTGTTTTGGAGGTGTTAACTTGTTAAAGCAACGTAGCGGTCCCACTAAATAACGCTGCCTCGAGGAAGGGCCTGTACTGTACGTGGGATTCAGGGTAGGACAGTCTTTATTATCCTCCCTGACCACAGTCACCTTGTGCTGTGATACATCTGACCTGACACCTCTCAAACCAGCCCTAGTAATTTATATGTGTTCACTTCTTCTCCTTATTGTTATTATACTATTATGACCTTATGGTGAATGCGTTTTTAAATCAATTACTGTTTTGAATGCATGCTCACCGTAGCATTTGAGAAACCTGCTGTGTGTACGTTTTGCATTTGTCCAATGCTGATAGGAGAACAGCTGTGCTCTGTTGCTAGGTAGTGGCACAGAGCTCCCTTGGTGCAGTCAGGTTGCCCAGTACAGGATGATGGAGCAAAATCCACATCCTCAACATCCTCATGTCGTTATCTAAATGTGACTTTAACCTTCTTAAATTAAATACTTTAAGAATCCAGAGTAAGACAGAAGTCAGAAAGAAACATTTGTCTTTCTATGGACCTTTGGGACAAGCGGATGTTGACTTGTTATTACTGCAACTATTATTGAGCGGTTTTATAAAAGTAATTATACCCAAAGGGGCATTGGTCACCGCGATAATGAATGCAACAATTATGATAAATGCATCAGATGCACCTTCAGGATTTCTCAAAAACAGATCCCTATGGTACATTAGAATATTATATAATTATTCAAAGCACTCATGGGAATTAATAAAACATAACAATTACCTAAGTTAGTGTGTGTGTTATAGTCTAACATCTACAGTAACATCTATTGCACTTTAGGTAGGTTTTGTATCTTCTCTTGCACTTTACATGTCGTTGCTGTTATATTGTATTACCATGTCATAAATACTTGTGTATGCTGCTCTTGCTCTCTTGCACTTTTTGCATAACATGTATTTTGTTTTTGCTATGTTTGTAAAATGTACATTTCTTAAATGTTTTTATGTGAGGGACTGCGGATGGAAATGAGCTCAAAGCTAAATCTGGCACTGTTACGCTTGACACATTTTAATGTTTTAAGTGTTCATTACCGTGCATTGTCCCTGCCAAATAAACGATTAAACAAATAATTAAATTAAATAAGTATGTTCTCTGACTGGTTCAGATATTGCAAATTAGGGAAGTGAATTGGGAAATGATCATACAGTTCTTTATTTAATAGTTCATCAGGGGTTTATCGTCTGACCTTTTTTTCCCTCTGGCTCGGCTCAGGTACAGTGCAGAGGGTTCATACGTAGTTCCAGGCGTATGATTCATCAACGCTATTATCACAAATTAGCCGTCTCCTCAGTGTCACTTGGCTTGGTTGTGGTTTTCCATGTCTTCCTTTGCCACGGGGTGATTTCATCAGAGTAGTGAATATGTTTCCCTTCACTGCCCCCTGTGTAATGCCAGGCTGCCAGAGAGCCGGCTAAATTACCAGTTTTTCATGTTGTGTTTCATTCTGTTGATAAAGTGTAGATTAAAGAATTCAAACACAGATACAGTGCGGGGTGGTTGTCTTGTTAGACTTAAGGGATAGTTCAGATTACTTAAAGTGGACCTATCATGCTATATTTGAATAATATAGTGTAGGACCATACCTATATAAGGCATATTTATACTCAAATTACCAAACAGATCATGCATTTTAGCCATGCCTCATTTCGCTCAATTTGAAATGTTTTAGCTCTGTTTTTGCAAGGGCAGATTCTGTGAGAACAGCACCATCTACAGGCCTGGCATATGTACTACAGCGTCTCCAGCGCTTTCGAACGGCAATGGCCGTGGCTGTCTCCTCCTGATTGGTGGAGTTGGCCCAATAGCCATAGCGCCACCGTCCTGACGTCAGGACAGTGTTCAAATCTGGATCAGTTTTTATCAGATCCGTTGCAGCCCCTTTTTTAGAGATTTGGGTATGGAGGAAAATAGAGAGGGTTGTGTTTTCTGACACTTGGTGAGTTCCCTGGAACACCGGGGACACATATTCATGTATAAAAGACGTACAAAAGTGCATTTTGCATGATAGGTCCCCTTTAAAGTAGAGTCTTGTGAAGCACTTTTCTGAAGTAAGTTGAAAATATCACTCGACACCGGGATGAGAATCAATAGTCAGGTACTAATTTATTCTTGCAAGAAGGAGCAGAGTTAAGTCACATACAAAGGATATGGTTCAACTCACACACATGAGGTATGCTGCTCAAGGGAGCAGGAAGTAACATCAAGCTAATATAGTCTAAAGTCAGGAGGTACCAAACAGTGTCGTAAATCGGTTTGGCGTCATCAGGTGTCGGGAAGGCGTCGGGACATCTCTGGAAAGGCAGTGTTGCTCTTTGCCCCTCAAAGAGGAGAGGAGACAAAGTGTGTGTGCTCTCGTTGGTATCAACAACATGAATTATGCCCTGCCTTCTCCTATCTACGAAGAGGCAGCTGCGAGGTCACACAGTGCAAAGTCACACACAGTATCATGCCCATCAGAATAATAGAAGACACCTTGTATTTTCTCCAACATAAGTGAATTAGCTACAATAGATGGAGGTAGACACGCCCCCCTGTTTAAGTGTCAAATGCTCAAATAACAAAATCAATACCAGTTGAAGTAAACACTATTTAAAATATTTGTACTGCTTTATCATGCTATCGGACCGCCCTGATCAAGAGTGAACTGAAACTCTCATCTATGATCTTGTTACAGCCACCAGACCCCATTCACAAACAACGTTAATCTTACCTGGCAGACCACAGGAGTTGTTGGTCTACTGCTGTCTTGATGGGGTAGTTATTTCATGTTTTTGTGTGACTTTGGTTAGTTTGGATTCACCAATTCAACACACACAAACAAAACAATACAGGCGGCAGTAGACCAGCAACTCCTTTGTTTTTCAAAGATAAAAATACTCTTTTTATAAATGGAGACTGGTTCCTTGTCAGAAAGGGCTGTCTGGGAAAAGTTGTCAAAATATTGTAATTATAGCGACACTTTAACTGATATTGATTTGTTTTAGAGATATGCTTTTCTTTAGACCCTATCCACAGTAGTTCCTTTCGTTGTTACCATGCAGTAACTACTGTCTGTTTCTCTAAACTGGAGGTGTAACTGCCGCTATATCCTGAGAATAAGGATATGGATAAGTACCCTAATGCAACCCCACTTTAAAACAATCCAAAATATCCCTTGAAGAAAGGGATGACTCATGTTTCCTAAAACATAGTTACCTCCCCATACATTTTGAACACAAATACCTGTACTTTCTACTTCTTACATTTTGAACACAAATACCTGTACTTTCTACTTCTTACATTTTGAACACAAATACCTGTACTTTCTACTTCTTACATTTTGAACACAAATACCTGTACTTTCTACTTCTTACATTTTGAACACAAATACCTGTACTTTCTACTTCTTACATTTTGAACACAAATACCTGTACTTTCTACTTCTTACATGTTAAACACAAATACCTGTACTTTCTACTTCTTACATGTTGAACCCAAATACCTGTACTTTCTACTTCTTACATTTTCCAAACAGGCTGGTTCCTTTAGTTTGAATGTGTGTTTGGTGGCGTGATCATTATTATTTAGAGTCATTGCGTGCCTATTGATTTGAACACGATCCGTGTATCCATCATTTCCTGGTCTTCTCTAAAGAAGAGGGACCAATGAAAACGTTGTCATGTTGCCGTTGTTCAGCATGGAAACATTCATTAGCTAACAATGACATTATTGTTCTATTAATATAAAGGGAGGTCAGGTACTCTTTAAAACAGCTGCTAGTTATGGGTACTTTTTACTGAAGTACATTTCAAAGCCCAAACTTCTTTACTTTTACCAGAGTAAAGAAGTTTAGTCAGTACTTCTACTTTTACCAGAGTATTTTTAAACACGAGTATCTGTACTTCTACTTGAGTAAAGGATGTGTGTACTTTTGCCATCTCTGTGTGTTTGTATATCTTTGACTCTGGGTCTCATTCAAATAATTGTTTTTTCATTTTGTGCAGTGTCGATCAGCTAGCCTGCCTCGGAGAGTCGCGCTCCCTTTCTGAGCTCACCCTGGATGGGAATCCTGTAGCCCTGGAGACATGGTACAAGCAGGCCGTCCTGCGCTGTGTGCTTCATCTGAAACAGCTGGACATGAAGCGCATCACAGTAAGAATCCACTCTCTAACTGTGTGTGTGTGTGTGTGTGTGTGTGTGTGGTGTGTGTGTGTGTGTGGTTGTGGTGTGTGTGTGTGTGTGTGTGTGTGTGTGGTGTGTGTGTTGGTGTGTGTGTGTGTGTGTGTGTGTGTGTGTGTGTGTTGTGTGTGGTTGTGATGTAGTGTGTGTTCGGTGCTGTTGTGCTGTGTTAGTGTGTGTGTAGTGTGTGCTGTGTGTGTGCTGTTTGTGTTGTGTGTGTTGCTGCTGTGTGTGGTGTGGTGTTGTGTGGTGTGGTGTGTGTGTGTGTGTGTGTGTGTGTGTGTGCACGCGCGCGTGTTTACAAGTTCAAAAGTCCACTGGCCAAATTCGGCAAATTATATCTGAAAATGAGGTTTTCTAAAATGAATTTATTGTCCATTTTTCCTTTATCTTCTACTAATTGTTTTGACATGCCACACTTTTAATTATGTAACTTCAGCATCATCAATCATGATGAAATGGAAAGAGGGTGTAGAGCAGGGGTGTCAAACTCAATTTCATCACGGGCCACATCAGCATTTTGGTTGCACTCAAAGGGCCGGAAGACTATATGAAAATACATATGTAAATATTTAATACAAACGTATGTATTATGACATTATTGCCTCTGCATTGGATCATTATCGGATAGGGTAATAACTTCATAATTAACTACGTCTGAAAGCAGAAGTCTAGGGCAAATCATTGGAAGTCTCTTCAGTGAGAATGTCACAAAATGATTTTTTTTTTTAAAGCCAAATTCTGGAAAAAAATTGAAAATGTAAAAAAAGTGAAATTTTGAAGAAAAGTCAAATTCTGAAAAAAAACATATTTGAGATGCATTGTGGGACATTTAGTTTATGGGCAACGTGCTTCTGTAAATCGGCCTGTAACCGTATAATAAACGTATTATATTCTTTCATTCGGGCTGGATTTGGCCCCCGGGCCTTGAGTTTGACACCCCTGGTGTAGAGTTATGATGACCAACCCATGGTGGAATGTAAGGAAGCACATTTACTCAAGCATTGCACTTTTTTACAATTTGTTGTAGTATTTTTATTTTATGATACTTGATACTTTTTACTGCACTACATTTTAGATGCTGATGTAATTTTGAATCTACTAAATGTATCTGACAGCTTTAGTTACTAAACAGATGTAGATGTTTAGCTAATACAACATATACATAAGCTAATGAATAAACATTCAAATGTAAAAACACCCAACAGCAATATCCAAAATATTCAGATTAGCTCCACCTTTACTCGTTGTGATGAACCCATAACAGGTTACAATAAAATACTACTGAAACTTCCACCACTGCCATTTTATAGCTACACTATAAATCTCTCAGAACCCATACTTGTGCTGTATTTGTTCATAAGCCGTAATTGCATTATATATCTGATCACATGTTCAGCTAATGACCCTAACCTTAAAGTCACAGTCTGTTACTGGACATCTTTATCGTGACCATGACTTGAATAGAATAGAATATATCTTTATTGTCATCATACAAAGTACAACGACATTTCTTTGGCAACTCTCACTGCAGTAAAAAATAGACACAATTAGAAATAAGAGAGAGCCAAGTCGCTGCGTCTGCATCAGTGTTCATTTCGTCAACGAAAACTATGACGAAATGTTTTCGTCAACGACCTTTTTTACACGACAAAGACGAGACGATGACGAGCTAAAAATAGATTGTTGATAATAAAAACTATGACGAAATGTATATTTAGTTTTCGTTGACGAGACGAGACGGGACTAAGGTGTTAATGGTGGACTATCGGACATTCAAAATGCAGGGTAAGTGCAAGTGTCCGTCTTGTCAAAATGCATCTTACGTTTCTAACTTGCAATATCATTATTTCCGCTCTCTTCACTCCAGAAAAGCGATCTCCCTGTGTCTCTCTGTGTGCGGGGGGCGGGGCCTAACTCTCTCCCTGTGTCTCTCTGTGTGCGGGGGGCGGGGCCTAACTCTCTCCCTGTGTCTCTCTCTGTGTGCGGGGGGCGGGGCCTAACTCTCTCCCTGTATCTCTCTCTGTGTGCGGGGGGGCGGGGCCTAACTCTCTCCCTGTGTCTCTCTGTGTGCGGGGGGGCGGGGCCTAACTCTCTCCCTCTCTCTCTGTGTGTGGGGGGCGGGGCCTAACTCTCTCCCTGTGTCTCTCTCTGTGTGCGGGGGGCGGGGCCTAACTCTCTCCCTGTGTCTCTCTCTGTGTGCGGGGGGCGGGGCCTAACTCTCTCCCTGTGTCTCTCTCTGTGTGCGGGCGGCGGGGCCTAACTCTCTCCCTGTGTCTCTCTGTGTGCGGGCGGCGGGGCCTAACTCTCTCCCTGTGTCTCTCTGTGTGCGGGGGGCGGGGCCTAACTCTCTCCCTGTGTCTCTCTCTGTGTGCGGGCGGCGGGGCCTAACTCTCTCCCTGTGTCTCTCTGTGTGCGGGGGGCGGGGCCTAACTCTCTCCCTCTCTCTCTGTGTGCGGGGGGCGGGGCCTAACTCTCTCCCTCTCTCTCTGTGTGTGGGGGGCGGGGGCCTAACTCTCTCCCTGTGTCTCTCTGTGTGCGGGGGGCGGGGCCTAACTCTCTCCCTCTCTCTCTGTGTGCGGGTGGCGGGGCCTAACTCTCTCCCTCTCTCTCTGTGTGCGGGCGGCGGGGCCTAACTCTCTCCCTCTCTCTCTGTGTGCGGGGGGCGGGGCCTAACTCTCTCCCTGTGTCTCTTTCTGTGTGCGGGGGGCGGGGCCTAACTGACGCTGCAGCGGCATGCACACAGATTTTTAAGAGTAGTAGTACCGTTAAAAACCTTAGCGATACCCGTCCCTAGATATTACACAAGCAAAGTGTTAAGAGAGTGCTTTACGAATTTCAACACTTGATTGACTTCCAATTTCAGATACCTGTATTTGCCTAACTGAATTGGTTTAAAGAGAGAAAACATTTTGACTCAAAGTCGACTAAAATGTAACGATTTTTCATCGACTAAAACTGGACTAAAACGTTTTGAGTTTTCGTCGACTAAAACTAGACTAAAACTATGAAGGATAAAAAGGACTAAAATGTGACTAAAACTAACAACCATTTTCGTCTAAAGACTAAGACTAAATAAAAAATAGCTGCCAAAATTAACACTGGTCTGCACGCGCCATTATGATTTTACAGTCCAAATCAAACCCTGAAAGGCGGTCTCCTATTCACGGTCAATGGGGCAAGCTCCTGTAAATCTTTACGATGCAGAACCCGTCTTTGTTTTCGGACATTTTTGCAGCATTCATCATGTTCCCGGTCGCGTATTAAAGGGCATACATGCATCAGTGACTTAACTATAATTATAAACCAAGCAATCTCAATACAATGAGTATTCTCAAGCATAAACATGAAGTCATTGTATTTGTACAGCATGCCAGCCAAGTGCTGCGGTGAAACCCCAGCATGCTTTTAGAAGCTGTCAAGCAGGGAGCACCCAGGTCTGAGCTTGCTCTTTAAGAGGAATCTGTAAATTTCACACACCTTGCCCCCAGAACACATACTGCTGATTCTTTAGAACACTCGTAACTCCTTTTTCAACTATTTTCATGTTTTTACTTGATTTTTAAGGTCCTTAACCGGTTTGGCGAGTTTCAAAAATCCATCGTGTAATAAAAACCCCTCCAACACACTTCTGTCCTTAACTGTCAAATCTGAAAAACAGGCAGGGGGTTTCACTTCCAGAAGTCTACCTTGTTTGAGTTTTTGTTGTAGACACTGTCAGCATAGGACACGTTTCCATCTTTTCAAACTGTGCCATGATGTTGCTGGAGGCAGACTGGGATGAAGCCACTGAAGATCTACATTCCCCCCTTGAACCCTTCAACAACACTTGCTCCCAGTGCGAGTCAGATCAGATTATCAGAGATTAAATCTGTGCCTGACTGATGGCAGGTCGGCTATTATTTATGAATGAAATCAGAATTAATACAGCAAATTAACAGATACAGTTCTACATTTGATCTTTAGGGTAAATTATTATTCACATTTCTCAGTTTCCTTTGGTATTAACCCTTGTTTTGTGTTCAAAAGCTGTTACCGTTCGTGGTGTTCGCGGGTCAATTTTGACCCATGACTTATCTCAGTCCAAAACACATCAACGACTAATGACTATCTTCCAATATTGTTTTAACTACATCATAACTAACTTATCCATCCATAACCGTACAATGCTGTTGTAATTTAATGTTATGGGCCAAAACACATTACACCACATATTGTAGGGCTGCTCAATTAATCGTATTTTAATCGCAATTACGATTTTGGCTTGCAACGATTATGAAAATAACATAATCGAAATAAAACGATTTTTATTATTATTATTTTTTTTTTTAATTATTTTTTTTTTTTCAGTTGAATTATACTTAAAGTTCAGGGTAATCAACTGTTAAAAACATACTGTTCGAATTTTTTTTAAATAAATTGATGTTTTCAAAGTAAATGGATAATCGTTTTTAATAATCGTGATATCAATTATTGACCCAAATAATCGATATTATGATTTTTGCCATAATCGAGCAGCCCTAACATATTGCACACGTGCATGTGTGTGTTCAGGTTCAAGTGTTAGTGTACATATTCTTTGAGAAAGGTCGAGTTGTTGCTCTCCCAAAATGAGTTTACAGTAGCGACACACAGCATCTCAATCTGTCCCCACCAGCTCCTGATGATTTTGCCACTATTGATCCGACAGAGGCATCGTCACAGACAGCTGAACACCCCCCTGGCTCTCGGCTGGCACACTCAGATTGTGTTGGCAGCATTGCATTCTGGGAGTTTCGGCTTTCCCAAAACAGCTGTGCTTCGGTTGATCCGAGAGTGAAAATCAGACAGATAATCCTGTGATCGGTGTTCCAGTCTCTCCCATCCTCCCCCTCTCTACTGAATGATTCAAAACTCATGAATGGAGCGACTCTCTGATCGCACAAGCTATCTCTTTCAGGACGAGGATCGGCGCATGGCTGGTGTACAGGCTCGAAAGGAGGAGGAGAGGAAGAGGGAGGGTCACAAGCAGACCATTCATAAGGTACCGCTCTCAACCCATCATGTTGTCTTTGTGTGCCTGCGTTTACAGTTTAGCAAGTGATTGTGACGGACTACTCTTGGAGAGTAGCAACAAGTGTCCTCTGAGCGAATAGCGTCCTTTGAATACAGTGAGGGGTTGTATTGTTAGTTATTGAAGATTAGTTGGATGAAGCTGCGTATCATAGCTCTCTGAAACGACCCCATACTCTGCTGCTTATGAGATTAACAGAGTTTAATGCATCCAGCTGAATGTTACACATACTGTAGTTTGAATACAATTGCATTGCATATTAAAGTATAAAATAGCTTTAAAAAGGCCATTATCATTTTAGGATCCAGATTATATTTACAATACGATAATACTTTATTGTCAGAACAAGTCTGACATTCTTCTTGCATCACAGTAGCACCATTTGCAACATCAACAAGGACAAATATTCTAGACAAGAAACAAGGGAACAGACATTTAACACAACATCACGATCACTCAAGAGAAACATGTTAAGACCCTCTATTAGATCTTAACTCTTTATTTCATTTGAGAACGGACTGGTGCACAATTTAGTGTTTATTTGGACAATAATGAAGTCTTTGTTCTCCTATTTGTTACAAATATGTTATCCATCATAACATATTTGATGAAAAAGCTCTAAAATATTTACCGTTTTTTGTCTTAACGTATGTATTTTTTTAATTATTGAAGCTGTGTAGGACAATAAACAAACAAACATTTGATTCAGACATAGATTTTTTAAATATACACAGCTATAAAGTATTTCTTAGCTTGATCTAAGATTTTCTGTCTTATACATGCAACTGTTTTGCAGTAAACATGTTTGTGTGTGTGTGTGGGTGCCAAGGTACATATTGATGTGTCTCCTCGCTGCAGAGGTGTCTTCTGCTGAGAGATGGTCTTTGTGCAGGACTCATTGTCTCTCAGTAACCTAACTCCCGTTAATCCTTGCTGTTGAGAAAATATGTTATATTGAATGTCCTCGCCAAAGATACTGACTCACCCCTGCATCGGGGAGTGGCACATTCCAACCCTTAGCATATCGAAACTACAGCCTGTCCAGGAGAGAACAATTCAAAGAACGAATGAGCAGAAATCTTCTCTCTTAAAGGGAGGGGATGGCACTTTTACTGCTGTATCTGCATTCAAATGCTGCAGTAACAAGAGCAAATACATTGGACTAACACATGCATATAGAATTTCAGATCTAACTTTAATGAGGTTATTAAGCCTGTGATTATTTAAGAGGGACAGAGTGGTTCCATTAGCTCTGTGTATGACCTCTGTGTTTGGCTCAAGAGAACTGTCACATGAAACCTTGTGTGTGTGTGTGTGTGTGTGTGTGTGTGTGTGTGTGTGTGTGTGTGTGTGTGTGTGTGTGTGTGTGTGTGTGTGTGTGTGTGTGTGTGTGTGTGTGTGTGTGTGTGTGTGTGTGTGTGTGTGTGTGTGTGTGTGTGTGTGTGTGTGTGTGTGTGTGTGTGTGTGTGTGTGTGTGTGTGTGTGTGTGTGTGTGTGTGTGTGTGTGTGTGTGTGTGTGTGTGTGTGTGTGTGTGTGTGTGTGTGTGTGTGTGTGTGTGTGTGTGTGTGTGTGTGTCTGTCTGTCTGTCTGTCTGTCTGTCTTCTGTCTGTCTGTCTGTCTGTCTGTCTGTCTGTCTTGTCTGTCTGTCTGTCTGTCTGTCTGTCTGTCTGTCTGTCTGTCCTCTGTGTGTGTGTGTGTGTGTGTGTGTGTGTGTGTGTGTGTGCGCGGTCTGTCTGTCTGTCTGTCTGTCTGTCTGTCCTCTGTGTGTGTGTGTGTGTGTGTGTTGTCTGTCTGTCTGTCCTCTGCCTGTGTGTGTGTGTGTGTGTGTGTGTGGTGTTCATGAAGGAGAAGCGGCGTCTGGCGATCCGTAATGCGGCGCAGCAGTGGGAGGGGGTCAGGGCCAGCCTGGAGCTGCCACCAACAAATGCTGCTAAAGAGGAAGTGAGTCCAGAGAACAGCCCCGCCCACAGCCCCGCGCAGACCAATGGCCTCGCACAGGAACCGTCTCCAGATGAACCCAGGTAGAAGATCAAAACATCTACCTGTAGTGCTATTTCTCAATCTAGAATGTGTTGGTGTGAGTTGCTGAGTGTTTGAGATATCAGGTGTAGAGATGTCCGTCTTCGCTCCAAGGTGAAGGAACTCATTGGCTTGTGTGTGATAAATACATTTGAAACACTCAGCAGAAATGTGTCTTTCGAGAAATCATGGTTTCTAAACAGAAATTCACAATTCTGGATCAATAAAGTATATCTTATCTCATCTAAAGGTAATACACAGACCTTGTTGTGAGCTTTTAGCAATTTCTTTCCACCAAACTACTTATAACAGTTTTTAAACCGGTTAATAATAGTTAACCTTGTCTTGCTGTGATCTCACCTGAGAGGTGTTTGAATGAAATAGCTATCTCTGTTCTGAGTTTGTTTGCTTTTGTTTTGTTTCATTAGGCGGGTCAGCCCAGGTTCAGGACCAGAGCGACCGCCAATGGGAATGGAGAACAGACTCCGGACCAACAGCCGTCCAAACAGCCCACGGGATCCAAAGTAAGACAACAAAAGATTTGTTCTCTCTTCCCCTGAAGAGGATTCAGATCTGACTTGTTGAAGTTAGCGGTGACAGACAGTGATTGACAGATGGTTTCAATCATATGAACTGCAAAGTATTTTTAGCTCTAACATAAATTATGTGTATCTGGCACATCATGTTACTTACAATTGACCTGCTTCATATGAAGGTTTCTTAGCAGTGTTGTTTGCAGCTGAACAATGACAAATGTTTTATGAAGGATAGAGATCATCCTGGAAACAGATTTGATTCCTGCAACAGCTGCTACTGTACATCCAAGGTTCAAGGCTCTTTATTTGTCAAACGAACATAGCTACAGTGTAGTTATGTCGATGAAAATCTTGTGTCACAGGCTTCTCCAACAGTGCAACACAAAACACAGATAAACAGAAAAAAATAGTGCAAGTAAATATTAAATAGTAAATACAAGAAGCAAATAGTTTAAAAAAGTGAAATAGTGCAATAAGAGTCTATATGCAAGTCATTTAAATATGATATATTAGGTAAATAGATAAATAATTTTTAAGTAGCAGCCAGATGAATATTGTGGATGTTGTTGCAACAGTTCAGGTGTTTAACAATCTTATTGCCTGTGGGATGAAACTGTCCCTGAGTCTGGTGGTTTTAGTCCGGATGCTGCGGTACCGCCTGCCAGACGGCAGCAGACAGAACAGTTTGTGGCTGGGGGGGATGGGGGTCTTTTATAACAAAAAGATCCTCCGTGGATGGCAGCTCCGTCCTGGTGATGTTCTGTGCAGTTTTCACCACCCTCTGTAAAGCCTTACGATTGAGGGCGGTGCAGCTGCCGTACCAGGCCGTGATGCAGCCAGTCAGGATACTCTCTATGGTGCACCTGTAGAAGTGGCAGAGTATCCTGGAGTCCATGTTGAACCTCCTCAGCCTGCGGAGGAAGAAGAGCCGCTGTCCAACCCCCATATTGAAATATTCTTTAAAACAAAGTTTAGTTCATCTAGGAGGTGTGTGTTGTGGCTGCTGCAGAGCTTTGTGAGCTCCCTGGTCAAATCAGGACATACATCCTTAAGATGAGACACTTCTTAATCCACTGTTTATTACAAGCTAGGTTGAATGTGAGGACATATCACTCCTGCCCTGACTGTGACCCAGGTCTGGATGAGTTATGAAAGTGAAGGCTGAGATTAAAGTGGCCATGCACTATACAGTAATTACATGTTTCCAACGGGGCTTTTACTGCAATGAAAATGTCTCGAAGCACAATCCCTGAATGGCAGCGGCTCTCCTTTACAGGGTCTATTACAACCTCAGTCATGTGGCCTAACAGGTTATGGTGAGGAGCTGGACTCATGCGATACCTCACTGCTTTGAGATGCGAGTTTTATTGCTTTGGCTTGTATTGAATGACAAAAATACCAAGGGCCATTACAAACCCTGGCACCAGCAGTAACTAGAAAGAGAAAATATGTGACTAAAAAGAAAAAACGATGAATAACACCTGTGAATATCCACAGCAGGTGGGAAATGTCAGTATGGTTTCAGTCACCGTTGTTTGGGTTTCATGAAAAGTCCACACATGTTACCTCTGATAGCTGTACTAGATGTGAAAATGATTCTGCCCAATGTGTAGGGATGGGTATCGTTAAGGTTTTACGGTACTACTACTTTTATCGATACCGCTTATCAACCCGGTACTTTAACGGTACTTTTATCGGTTCTTTTGGAGAAAAAGAAAAAACCTAACATTGCTTTTTATTTAAATTTAATTAAATACATAATATTTCACATCAAAAGAAACAACAATGTTTTAACAAATCGTATTAAATAATCTGATGACAGAATTGTAAACAGAATAGCTGAAACTTTAACAAAATAAATAACTCAGTTACCTCTAATCATTAACCCATGTTTGTATAATTTAGTTAACTCTGTGTGTTGCTGCTAGCATACATAACACCTGACGTGGAAAAGTTACTCGTGGATGGGGCTACAGAGCTTCTAGAAAGACAGTCGAACCGTCTGAATGTGGTGCACTTTTGCTAAATGTTTAGACAAATTGCTCGTGTTACCGCCCTTACATGCTAAACTCTTATTGCACTTTTGGCAACGAGCATTGTCCACATCGAGACGGGTAAAGTTTAACCACACCTCGGAGCGAGTTCTCTCCACCATCTCCTCCGTGTGTGTGTGTTGCTGCATGTAGTAGTCGTGTGTGTGTGTATACTGCCCCGCCCCCTCAAGCAGGCGGGGGAGAGAGATCTCTCATCTGGATTGGAAAGATCAAAAATACAAAAAATAATCATAGACGCATTTTGCAGTCTTTTTGCATATTAGAAACGGAGTTGGCGACACTAAAACTGCAATATAATGTTTGTGTAGCAATAATACATATGGCATATATTTTTTACATGTCTCCAGTAGCCTACCGATAAAATAATTCAGCCCCGGGGCCCGTTTAATACCAGGGCTCGGTACCCATCCCTACCAATGTGAAACGTGCAGGGGCAGATGATAACATCTGATTTGAGGTCTGTGATTCAGCACTCTTGCCTCTAGTGCTCTCAGCAGGAAATTCCACAGTTTTGGTTAAAAGTGTGAGCATTATAGTAAAAAGAAAATGGCTTAAACATAAAGAAAATAATTGCCCTGCTTCAGAATGTAGTCAAATGTGATGATGACATGATTTCATCTGATATTCATTAGCAGCCCCAGTTTGGTGACAAATTAAAATGAAACTGAAATGAATTTTGACAGCACATTCAACATGATGATGATCCTGCAATAAGTTATGGGACAATAGCTGGTGTCACTGTGCCAACGTGTGACTGTTCCTATTAGAACCATGTAAGATTTATGTCTCCTAGTTTCCCCTGAGGGAAGGGATTAAGGGAACACGGCAGAGATTGAGTTATTACCCAGAAATCCAATCGTGGTGTTGGTCACCGTGTGAGGAGGCCTTTGTACTATTCATACATTTATTTAATAAAGAGATGTGCTGACACCCTGAACAGGTGGTTTTGCATACAAATGCATGATTTATCCCCATGATGGTGGGAGGGTATCAGGAGTTTACAGTCTTTAGCACTCACATCTGCTCTACACTGAACATGAAGCATTTGTTTTCACTTTCTAAACTGAGATCGTAAAAGACTCTTTGGAAATGATGAAGACCTTTTTGAACATTAAACCATGTAAACATGTCACAGTAGAGGCACACAATATGAACCATACATAAGCACAATAGGGCCCCTTTAGGGACACTTTAATAAATCTAAGTTGTGTTTTATTTTGTAGTTTCGGGAAATTGGAACAATATCGATGATTATTTTCATGTTTTAAAACGTCTGGAGAACTGCCAATTGCATTTGACACACAATCCAATCCACTTTATTTCTATGGCACATTTAAAAACAACAGAGTTGAACAAAGTGCTGTACAAAAAACAGACAGGACATGAAACAAATGTAAAACACGAGACAATGAAACCAGATCAGAAGCCACAGAATGAGAAACTCTCCGACATGACGTAAAAACAATACAAAACACTAGTGATAAAAACCCAAATTTAAAAGCACAAGTGTCACCTGGTCTGTAAATGCCAGGGAAAAGAAGTGGGTTTTTAAACGAGATTTAAAAACAGGCAGAGTTGGAGCAAGTCTAACCTGGAGGGGCAATTCGTTCCATACTTTTGGAGCTGCAACAGCAAAGGCTCTGTCTCCTCGCTGCTTCAACCTCGATTTAGGGACGACCAGAAGGAGTCTGTCGGCCGACCTCAGTGACCGTGTGGGTGTGTATGGTTTTTAAAAGTTCTGCAAGGTACGGTGGGGCTAAACCGTTTAGGGCTTTGTATGCAAACAGTAACATTTTAAATTGTATTCTAAAATTGACTGGTAGCCAATGTAAAGAGGCGAGTACAGGCGTAATATGTTCACGCCTGCCTGTCCTTGTAAGGAGGCGTGCAGCAGCATTCTGGACCAGCTGTAGGCGAGACATGGAAGCCTGGCTTACTCCAATGTACAGAGCATTGCAGTAATCCAGTTTAGTGGATATAAAACAATGTATTACTCTCTCAAAGTCATTAAAAGAAAGGAAAGGCTTGACCTTTACTACAATTCTTAGCTGAAAAAAGCTGGATTTTACCACAGAATTGATCTGTTTGTCCAGTTTAAAATCACGATCAATCCGTACACCCAGGTTTGTTACAATGGGTTTCACATATGGGACAAGAGAATCCAGCACAGGTGGGGCATTGGGGCCACCACTGGGTCCAAACAGGTACATTACGTCTCATAATTAGATCTGTTATTTTACAACGTTAACGTATATCATCTGACTTTATTTTGTGTCTCTGAATAATTGTACTCTTCACAGTTGAGTCCATTTGTTTTCACTTTTCCGACTCAGATCATAATAACTTTGAAATGACTGCTCGGACAGTAATCTTTCATATGTATGTCATAAGCTGTATCTTTGGGGGGATTAAGTTGTGAGAGATGACAGATGTCCCTTTAAAAACGTGTAGGATTAAGTGAGACCTCCCTAATTGAATTACAAGAGTCTAGGATCCATGTAATCGTGACAGACTCTTCATTAGGTCTTCCCCGCCTCTCTTATTGTTAGCTGCTGTTGTGTTCAGGGCCACCTGGCAGCGTCTCAGCTGTGATTATGGGACAACAATACATGACACAGTGCAGTGTGTTGGTGGCAGGCGTCCACAAGCGACTCTCATTCTTTACGTGGCTTTTGTACATGTTACGCTCTATCTCCTGCTCTGCTGTCCTGATTTACTGCCTTCAGCACTTTAACACGAGGAGGCGTGGCGTGTCCTGATGATTAAGCAGCCTTTCAGTCTCTGTTGCCTCCCCTTCTATTACCACCAAGTGTCTTTGACTTTGCAACCCTCTTCAATATCAGGTTTTAAAGGTCACCTATTATGCAAAATCCACTTGTTCATGTCTCTTCTACATCAACATGTGTCCCCCCCTCTGTGTAAAGAGATTCTGAAAGTTTCAGGAACAAAGATTCTCTCACTTTTTGTCCTGATCCATTTTTATAAAAACCTGTCTGAAAATGAGCTGATCAGATTTTGGCCACTTTATGATGTCGTAACGATGTTTTGTCTTGTGTAACCATTAGCCAATCACCAACCAAGGTAACCCCCCCCCCACCCTATCACCTGAATCTCCTCCTAGAGCACCATTGTGTTCTTTTTAACCAAATATCTCTCAGAGGGGCGTGGGGAGGGGCTCCTTATTTTCATCTAAAGTAACAGACAGAGAATCAGCACTTTGGAAACAGGGCTGAAACAGAGGGGATTATGGGATGCTGCAATGATCTGTTTGGTATTTGGAGCCAAACACTTCAGAGACAGGTTTTGTATATATCTGAGATCTGTAATATATAGATGAAAAACAGTATAATAGGGGACCTTTAAGTTGAGCCTTGCAGGTTTTTCCTTCCTCTCCTACTTCTTCTATCACATTGAAAGTTCTCCCAGTATAATAGGGGACCTTTAAATGTTTATAAAGTAACACAGCTGCTCTTAATCAATCTGTTTTAATGCACATTTCATTATCTTAAAGACTGCACTCATATTTTGATATCACATACTTATATGTTGTTGTTTTTGTAGCTGCACTTGGAAGTAGAAGTAGTGTGTTGTCCAAGTCCTTGACTCTATCATTGCTTTCGGTCTCACAGATGTGTGTTTTGTAACCATGGTCTTTGGGGTAATAGCTTTCTATGCCATCAGAGGTGTTTTAAGGCGGAGTCTGGCAGGTGGTTTTTGGTAATAATTCTGAAAGGATGACAACAATTTAAATTCACTTTCTCGAGGTTGTGCACATACATTGAGGTATCTTAAACGTCTAAAAAAAAGTCAGTTTTCAAGTCAGCTATTCAGATTTGGCTCCGCAAATACCACTTGCAGACTGATTACAATAACCCCCCCCCCTCCTCTGAGTATCTCCACTCAAGGCTTGAGAAAAACATGTGCTTTTTTGGCAGGGGGCTTAAAGAGACAGGTGCTTAAATGGAACATTTCCGAGAGAGGGTGAACACAGGTGAATTTAAAAAGAAGTAACAACAAAATTATGTGTTTTCTGAACATTAAAACTTGTCTGGCAGTGGCTCAGTCAGTAGGGGCTTGGACTGTGAGCCGTAGGGTCGCTGGTTCAAGTCCCCGACCAGACCTAAACATGGAGTGTGGACTGCTACTTGGAGAGGTCCCAGTTCACCTCCTGCCCTGCCGTGGTGTCCTTGAGCAAGGCACCGGACATCCCTCTCCCCCCTCCACTCCCATTGCTCCCTGGGCGCTGTGCAATAGCTGCCCACTGCTCCTAGTACTAGACTCCTGCTACTAGGATGGGTTAAATGCAGAGAACACATGTCACTGTGTGCTCTGCATGTGTGACCATTACAGAGGGTTTCATCCCTCCCTCCGATTCTATTCTATATTGTAATTATAATCTAGTAAGAAGCTTTATTTACAAGGGTGAACTTTCATGTTAGCACGATATGTCCGCTTTAATACACCCTCCCCTTCTCATTTTATACCATGACATTTCCCCTTGACATTTCATTAAGAAATACTTTCATTTGAGGTGCATGGAGGTCATGTGTCAATCAAATATAATTATTGAGTGTAATATTCCCTGTCTGTCACTGGTTCATTTGTTCAAGCTGTACTACAAAATTAATCCGGTTGTTGTGTTTACTGTAATTTGTGGCTTTTTTGTCACGCAACTCCCAAAGGGTATTTAAAACTGATTAAACTCTTGGCCTCAAAAAAAGACTTTGAGTTATGTCACACTGTATACTCATAAAGACACTTACAAGCAGACCACACACAGACACACACACACCAAAACTTTCCCAGAGGCTTACAGCTGTGTTCTGAACTGGTCATGTAACACTAACCCGTCTCCTGAGGCTCATGACCACCACTCACCTGTCTTTTACACAAAGATAAATCAGAGGAAGTGACTGTGGGAATACTTACAAACTCATTCTGTGCAGAGCAAGTTCTCTGTCTCTATCACTGCTCCCTTTTTGTCTCCCTGATGTTTCTCCTGAACTTCTATCTGTTCATTTTGAAGTGTGGCCTTTAACAATCCACGTTATTTGTTTGTCTGCTCTTTTTGCTGCTAAATGATGATAAACTGTTCCTACTGTCCGGTACAGAGAGGGGTCACCTCGGAGGGACCAGTCTCTCTGTTCCTGCAACAAAGCTGTCCATTTCCAGCTTTATGTTGTTTCCTGATGTGTCCACCTCTCGTCTACAGACTCCAACACACTTTCTAAAAATTGGTCTGAACAAGAATCTTGGATTTGAGTTCTGCAATCAAAGGATTAGTCCTCTAACCACTATGGCGTTCTGCTGCGGACAGATTGGAAGGGTGTGAAATATGAATAGGGGCGATAAGCTTGTTGGCGTGCTGAAATCAAAATGATCAGAGTTGGGTAGCGTGTAGCCATCTGATGTCCTCCTGACCCAGAGGGCTTTGCACACACAGGGAGATTAACGTCTCCTTCAGACTCTCCCAGAAACCCCACTCTCACGACTCTCTTATCAGGGGAGGGCACTTAAACTGTCCTGAAGAATAGAAGGCAATTACGCCGGACAAATAGGACATTGGCTAGACTGTTGCGTGTTCTGCTGGAAAGTGCAAGCTTTATCAAACACGTAAGCAAAGCTATACTGTAAGAGCCACTTTAGCACACATTACATTTGAAAATAGATGTTAACGTTGGCATAACAGATTAGAAAAGTTGTACGATAGCATAATATTTGTATAATGTTGCATATATTTTCCAAATGTGGACTATGCTAAGGTTTTTTGTTTGCTACTGTATTCTTGTGTTTATGCTATATTTCATTAATTAAGACAGGTGTTAGTGTCGCCAAGTTTACAAGTTTGGATAAAAACAGCTTATTTAATGCAGAGTTTGTAGCATATTACTATTAAATCATCAAGTCAGTAGTGGACCGGGCGAGACATAATAAGGGTAGAAATCACCTGCCTTGACAATGTCATTTCATTTGAATATACCTTTGTGAAGTTTTACCCCCCTCTTTTGAGTATTGGGTCTTCCCACAAGTCAGAACTATGATATCCTGTGGCCTAAGAACTTGATACATTGTATAAACGGTCACTATTAAAGTATTTTGTGCTTATCAGGGCTGGTTAACAAAGTGTGTTTGTTAGCACGATATGTCCGCTTTAATACACCCTCCCCTTCCCATTTTATGCCATGACGTATCCCCTTGACATTTCATTAAGGAATGCTTTCATTTGAGGTGCATGGAGGTTCACATTATGTAAGAGTAATGTGTCAATCAAATATAATGATTGAGTGTAATATCCCCTGTCTGTCACTGGTTTATTTGTTCAAGCTGTACTACAAAATTAATCCGGTTGTTGTGTTTACTGTAATTCGTGGCCTTTTTGTCACGCAGCTCCCAAAGGGTATTTAAAACTGATTAAACTCTGAGGCAAACTATGGCCTCAAAAAAGACTTTGAGCTAAGTCACACTGTATACTCTACTCATAAAGACACTTACAAGAAGACCACGCACGCACGCACGCACGCACGCACGCACGCACGCACGCACGCACGCACGCACGCACGCACGCACGCACGCACGCACGCACGCACGCACACACACACACACACACACACACACACACACACACACCAAAACTCTCCCAGAGGCTTACAGCTGTGTTCTGGACTGGTCCTGTATATAAACGGTCACTATTAAAGGATTTTATCTGATTTTATTAATCTAACATGCTTCAATAGCAATATATATTATTTTTATGTTGGTCTTTTGTTATTTCTTAATCGTGTAACCTTTATTAGAATTATGGCATTTTATTACTATTACCTTTTTTTCATTTCTGTTGTACCTATATGTTCACTTTGTTTTATGGGGTTTTATATTTTATATTGTTGCGATTGACTCAGTTGTCTTGTGTCTTATCTGTCAGAGAGAAACCATTATTTATTTTATTTTTATTATCATACATTTTACCTCCTTGTGTCTATTAACCTGATACATTTTATATTTTCCTGTGAAGTTCTTAACAAGTAATCTGAGGGGAATTTCTTGTTGTTTATTTTTAACTTGTGATGTGTCATTTTGTAAAGCACTTTGAGCTGCAAGTGCTATATAAATAATAAATAAAGCTTTATTATTATTATTATTATTATTATTATTATTATTATTATTATTATTACTATTAAAGTATTTTGTGCTCATCAGGGCTGGTTAACAAAATGTATTTCTGTATATTCTGCAGGCTGGTGGAGGCGGGCAGTGTGCAGAGCCTCTCTCTCTCCGACAGTCACCTGGCGGAGCTGGACGGAGACACGCTGCGGTTGTTCGGCCCCGGAGCCCTGGAGGCCCTGGAGCGAGGCTGGGGGGTCCAGACCGCCAGCGCTGTCACTGTTATAACTTTCCGCTACATCAACTTTGACGCCATCATACCAACACTGCCGCGAATAAGGGTCAAGTTCCCCAATCTATCGGTGAGGGCACTGTCATTGTCGTGGCGATTTAATCCGTTTCTACATTTTATAGCCACTTTTCTCTATCGGGGTTGTGGGTTATGATGACGCGCGTTGAATCACATCAAATGTATTCTTTGATCAAGGCGGCATTCAAACATGAAGACAAACTTCCTCGCTTCAAAGTAACAAAAAGTTCTCCGTATCAAAAGGGAACAAAAATAATCCCGTCTAATCACACACTCACTCAGCTGTGTTCCATTGTCATGCCATATATAGACATATAGACATGCACGCCATACCTGACAGCGCACATTTCACAACAAATAAGTGAGACTTAAATGAACCATCTTTTAAACCGTAGTGTGACTCACTAAAACAAATAGTTAAAAGTTTACTCTTTATAATATTAAGCCTAACATTGAAACCATAATGATGAAAGGAAATGGCTCTAACAATCATAATGAGCCATTGGATAACGTTGAAGAAGACAAAAATATAATAATCATGTTACTATTTGACATATCACAATGAGTAAAGCTTTTTGAGGTGTTCACTCGTGGAACCGGCCATCTCTCAGTCAAATAATCCTTGTTCTGGCCTGCATCCACTGATCCATTTCGTAAATCAGGCAATAGAACTTGTAGGACTAGAGCAACACATTAACCATGTAAATGTTTCCATTTACATCATCGATCTTGACCAGTTGTCTCTTCTCATCACTTCCCATTAGATAACATTGATACATATCATCATCTTTAAGATACGACATAAATTAAACATTCTTAACTGATCAAAAATAATTCAACATGACAAATCTGGCATATTTTACTGATGAAATTTGTATTTAAAATGGTCAATTTAGCCCCTGAATCGAATCAAAGATCGTATTGTGGCAGAGTTTGTGATGTCAGCAAATATTTACTAAATATCAACTCCTCTGAAACCAGCCTGTTTCTTTTCCTGCAGCACATGATCTTCCAGGAAACCAACATCTGTCGTCTGCCTCAGCTGGCGGCTCTGGCTCAGGTGAGGCGTCTGGACCAGCTGACCATCCACGAGGGGGGGAACCCGGTGGCCAGCCTGGCTCTGTGGCGCTCCTTCCTCATCTACCGCCTGCACCACTTCAACTTGCAGAGGATCAACGGCCAGGAGGTGAGCCTGGAATGCACTCCTATATTATTTATTACAATGAAACATAAATCGTTAATATGTCTTTTTAGAAGCAGCTGCAGTGCATCCGGAAAGTATTCATACCCCGTAACTTTTTTCACATTTTGTTATGTTACAGCCTTATTTCAAAATGGATTAAATTCATTTTTTACTCAACATTCTACACACAATACCCCAAAATGACAAAGTGAAAACAGTTGTTAAAGAATTTTTGCAAATGAATTAAAAATGAAACACTCAAATATCACATGTGCATAAGTATTCACACCCTTTACTCAATACTTTGTTGAAGTACCTTTGACAGCAATTACAGCCAAAGGGGTATGAATACTTTCCGGATGCGCTGTAAGTGTGAATGAGAACATGTAAAAGGCTAAATGTTAAAAGTATGACTTTTTGGGAGTCAGATGAAAACATTGATGCCACTTTAGTTCGTTAACGTTTGACCGGTAAATGTAAGGCTACTTACTAGTTAGCTTAACTTGTAAAACTGAGAATAAATGGCTAGCTGGCAATCTGTATGGTTCTCCAATTGCTATGCTATTGATTTGTCTAATCAATACAACATGTCAAAACCTTTGCATCCAACTCTACGCCAGCGAACAAATGATTATTTTTCAAAATGTCAAACTTTTCCTTTAATTTTACGAGCCTTAAAGGGGACCTATCATGCAAAATGCACTTTTGTACGTCTTTTACACATGAATATGTGTCCTCGATGTTCCAGGGAACTCACCAAGTGTCAGAAAATACAACCCTCTCTATTTTCCTCCATACCCAAATCTCTAAAAAAGGGGCTGCAACGGATCTGATAAAAACTGATCCAGATTTGAACACTTTACTGACGTCAGGACGGTGGCGCTACGGCTATTGGGCCAACTCTCCACCTATCAGGGGAATGGGGTTGGGCCACGGCCATTGCCGCTCGAAAGCGCTGGAGACGCTGTAGTACATATGCCAGGCCTGTAAGTGTTAAGAGTAGTGAGTTTTGATCGCACAGTGATGAAACTTATACCAATATAATCTGTGGACTCTCAGCTTTAATATGATAATGATAATCTAATTTGTGCAGTAGTATAAAAGATCGCTACCGTGAGTTATGTGCAAAGTGTCTCTCTATCTCTCTCTATATCTATCTATAACTATCTATCGATCTACCTATAACTATCTATCTAT